TGATCTAACCTGCACCAGTCATCAACCAGATGATCTAACCTGCGCCAAACGTTCATTTATTTTGTCTCCAACCATAAAACTCACATTTAAACCTTACTATGTATTTTTTTATTCTTCACAGATGGTCTCATCAAAATCTTATTGCAACAATCATAATAATACCAACACGATCGGATATTACCGTATTTTCCACCCTATAAGTCAATACCTATACCCTATAAGTATATTAAGTATAAGTATATAAGTCTGCTGCCTTCATACATCTCCTCCTACATGTCTCTGTGTGAGTAGGCTTAAAAGGACTAATCTGTTTAAATAAAGGTTGAATGAAAAGTAGCATCAGTCCAAATATGTCTAATAAAGTAGAAAAGTCCATAATACGTCGCTTCGCCGTATACGTCGCTCCTATTATGTATCACCGCTGACAACTTGGAAACGTGGGCCGGTGTTGTGGCAAAAATCGATGGGCTGCCAAATGGTGGCTGCGGGAGTGTGCACGGGAGGACTTTAACAAGAATTTAACAAGATTAACATTTAAAAACAATTATTTGTTTGATCTAAATTATAGTAAAGGTGTGTCTCAGTCTAACGTTTGCTTAATAAATGTACTTTATTGGTCAAATTAGCCGCCGGGGCGGTGCAGCTGGTTTAACTTGCTCCAAACAGCGAGCAGAACAAAGGTGGGTTATATGGCAGGTCGATAGTGTCATTAATATCTGGTGAAGATTCCCAGTCTTCCAGGACATGGTAAACTCAAAACAGTTCAAGACAAAAACAATAAAGTTTAATAAATAAAGTCCAGTTGTTTTTGTCTTGAACTTTTTTGAATTTGTCATTTTAGCCACTTTTACTTATTACATGATACAACGGCATGCCATTTACCACCACCACCACTACTACCACTATAATTCTGCTGCCATCTAGTGGCTGAAAGTGGTACTGTCAAAAAATGTTTTCAGTCAGAATGAATGAAAACTCAGACACAATGGTTTATAAATATAGGGAAAGAAATCCATAAATATGTTGCTTGGGCCTATAAGACGCAGGGCTTGTAAATTATGCAAAAAGCTGCGATTTATAGGTAAAAAAAAAAAATACAGTAATATTTTTCACTTCATCGGCTATAAAAATGACCCAAAAAACACAAAAGTGTTGGAGATTTTTGGCTTAAAAAATAGAAAACTGCGCCTCAGTTTGTGTTACTGAGGTTATTCGAGGGAATAATTCTACACGATGAACTGAAAGCATCTTCATCAGCGTCTGTTTGACGTCCTCTGAACTGAGATGAGCAGCTCAGCGACAGAGTCGTGGATGTTTATTTTCGGGCCCGTCTCTTATCAGAGGCCGCAGAAAGTGTGCTGCTGCGGGGTTAAAAGTCTGTGACTGATGACGTTTAAAGGAAAATCGCTTCTGTCAGCGACACAAAGCACCTCCCGCTACCCATCATGCCTCAGCTCACATCACGTTTCTGCGCCGGCATAGATCTGGGTGTTATTCTGTTTTACTTCTCGTTACTGTTTCACATGGAAATGATTTGTAGACGCAGTCTCCCACACAGCAGGAGGGACTGCACACAGATGACAAACAACATCCAGAACAAACAAACGAGAGAAAGATGAAGCATCAACTTGATGTAAAATGTAGTAGTGACATAAATAAAGTGTAATGGAGTTGAAGATGATGTGAAATGGTTTTAGTGGAGGAGAAAACCAGCTGACCGCCCTCACACACACACACACACCTTCCTTGCCTGGTCATTGTCTTCGATCTGACCCAGATCCCTGCCGCTGGCCTGAGCGATCCTCTTCCCTGAAACCAGATTCCCGACCATCACAGAGGCCGGTCCGATCTCTGCAGGAAGAGAAGGGGATGAGGATGAGACGAGGGAGGAAGCACCTGTCCTGAGCATGAACCATTGTTCTCCAGGGTGGACTGATTATACAAAGTAAAGGATTTTTATGAGAAGTAAGTTTGGATTTATTGCAGATTTTATTTAATCAACAGTCAAATTACGCACAGGCTCAAATACATCCAAACAGCACTCATCGAATTGACCAACACTCATCTGCTCCTTCTGATGGAGAGACTTTGGTTAGGATGTTGCAGGACACCAGTGTCCCTGTCCACAGCGAAGACAGTTTTACATCAACGTGGACTGAGAGGACCAAGAAAGAAGCTGACCTTTGAGTTTGTCCACATGGACAAACCAAACGACTTCTGGAGAAAAGTTTTAAGCTCAGAGGAGACCAAGACGGAGCTATTTGGTCTCAATGACAAGAAATTTGTTTGGAGAATTCCCCTTAAGGCTTTCAGACACAAGTACCAACTGTCAAGCATGGCAGTGGTAGCATCATGCTGTGGTACAACTACCTCAAATTCACCTCAAATCAACAGCTAGAGTAAAAGAAACTTGGACAGTTTGGTGTTCCAGCACACATCAGCGCTCGTTCGTGAATAGATAAAGCAGGTTAGCACGAAGCTTCTGAAGGGCCTGACCTCAACCCAACTGAAAATTTGTGGACTCTCATTAAAAGTTGGATCCGTGCAGGAAACAACCAGTTCGAATGAACTTTACCAATTCTGCCAAGGAGCGTGGTCAAACATCAGCCAGTATTCTGCTGGAAACTTGATAATGGAGACCAAAACAAAACATGTGGTTCAAGGTCTAATTGGTGCAATTTACAATCCACAACAATTTCAAACTTCTGCAGCAAATTCCTGTGATTTAAAAGCACAGAGGTTCTGCGCTGTACAATCCTTCCACCCTAAGAAACATAAAGTAAAAAAAAAAAGCTCAAAATAACATCATCATGATATTTCTCTAATGGGTAGATACAAACTTTATCACAATCTTTCAAGCTGCATCTCAGTCTTCTAGTCCTGATAATGTTTAAATAATAATTATTGAAGGAGTAAACGTGATGCAGTTGAGCGGCATCAACTCGGACCAAAACAATCAAAGAGCTCATAAATAGCGATAACTGAAACAACAGGCCACTGTATTGTTTTGCCAAATTTACAAACTCTATAAAGTTTTTTTAGGTGGTGAAACTTGAACCAAAACGTCATGCCAAGGTGTTTTACAAAAGCGTGAACCGATCATATTTAATACAGTTGAATTATTAAATCTTAATCTAATTTTTACTACCTTTCTTTAAGTTACTTATTTATAAAAACAGTTTTTACGGATCAATGGGCATCGAGCCGTTTTTCTTTAATCATGACCATCAGAATGGGTTGGAGAAAAACTCTCGATCGACAGCACGAGAAAATATTTAAACAGTATTTTACAGGCAACGGCAGATTTTGATCAAAATCGTCCCCGTGCTGCGTTATCCACCCGCTCTTATAACCTTATCAGTTCAGCTGAGTTCACAGCTCAGAGGCGGCCACCCGGCGCTCTCCGTTAACACAAACATATGGTTCATGGGCAGTGACTTGGGAGACGGTTTCGATCGTCTTGAGCTTCTTGGTCTCAGCTGAAACATCTAAAACCTTTGACCAGGACGGCTCTGACCGAACGACTTCAGCACCTCTGAATCTCGAACAACGTGGCGTTTTTCTGCCGTACCTGGTTGTTTCTGCCGAGGTTTGGGCAGGTTGGTGACGCAGGTGTGTGGACACATGAGCACGTTGCAGGGGTGCAGCGCCCCCTCCAAAAACAGCTGCTTGGTCTCAGAGAGGTGGATGCCACCCAGGGGAGTCTTGGGCAGAGTGTTGGAGGGCACCAGAGCCAGGCAGTACACCCCCACCTGGTGGATACTGTCAATCGCCTGGAAAGGAGATTTGAACGTGGTCAGACCGAGGACAAACATTTTGAACGGACGTCAGAACTCGAGCTGCGTCATTACTGGGCTTGTTTCTCTTCAGCCAGAACATTTACAGGAACATCTAGGTCCTGCTTCTGAAACCGCTGACTGTAACCAGAAGAGCTAAATGGAAAAACTCACGCAGGCGGTCTCTGCGATGGCGCAGCAACAGAGAGAAATACTTTGAATGCAGCGGGTTAGAATCCTGACGGCTTTCATGGCTTCACCACCGTCGCCTCATCGGCTCAGACTCGATCTGGTCAGGCCACATGTGAAAGTGCAGCGCAGGAGCACTTCATGCATGTTCCAGGACGGCAAAACAAATGAAGGAATGAATGTGTTGTAAAGAGAGCGCTTCTGATGTTCTGATGTGTTAGAGATGTTAAAGGATCAATCAGATTTTTATACGCCAGATGAATCTGCTGGTACCATTCAATAATAATAATAAAACTGATGGGACTGAACACAAAAACTACAATTTTTGGGGGGTTCTGTCAGTCTCCTGAGCCCTCTTCCACGAAGTCCATTACAATTCAAAAAGTGACGAGCGGTGCCATCAGAAACTGACCTATCTTGACCTTGAGTTTCAGCTTCAGTGACTTTGGATAGTTTTTTTCACACTATCCATCTGACCAACCCGGGGTCGCATTTCCTCTTGCGGCGTCCCTGTCCTGGGATGTTGCCTACACTTCTATGAACCTCCTGCTTTTGAATAATCTTCTCAGCTGTGGTCAGAGGAACATGAAGCTGCTGGGAGAGGCTCTTTTAGCGTTGACCTTGATGATTATATTATTCCTTCTGAGCTCCTCACCGTTACTTCCTCTGCTCCCTCTCTGTAGTTTGTTACACAACAATAAATACCAAACTACCCAGAGGCTGTTTGCTCCATTTAAACAGACTGACGGATGACAGAAAGCTTAAAGGCACCGGTGGTACTGATTAAGGTCAAATATTTAGTTTAAAACACGACTCCAATGCAAAGATTAATAGTCTATTTAAAGGTAACTGCACATCTGTTCGTAATATTTCAGTGTTTATTTGAAAAATGAACAAATCATTTACTTTCGCATCTTTTTGCTCTTTCTAGCACCAACTAAAGACACGCAGATAAACACGATCCAACTGCTTTTACAACTGAATCACGTTTTACGAGAAACAAAGATTTGTCTCAACGAGCGGTCAGAGGATCAACAAGTCGAGCCGCAGCTAAATAAATTATTTGATGATTTAAAACTTTCTTTCTCAAACTGAACCACGTCCGTGCTTTTTCATTCCCTTTTTGAAGGATGATGTTAAATATTATGTGCCTCATGAAGGTTTTATTTTTAATGTAAGACAAGTTTCTCGGTGGTCACTGCAGGTTTGAACAAATGTTGAAAAGAATGAAGTTTTTTCTTGTTGAGGGCTGTTTGTAAATGTGGAATTATTCATTTTTGGTGTTTTGAATTAGTGTTTGGAGCAAAAGTGTGAAAAATCCTGCAGATTGTACGTTTTTATACAATTCAGTTCAGTTTATTTATAAAGCGCCAAGTCACAACAGAAGTCGTCTCAGGGCACGGAACAGAAATATTCATATAAAAACAATAATTTAACTTTATTTATCTGAGGAGCAGACTGCTTCGAGTTGAACTCCATCGCAGAACTCTCACAGAAGAGTAATTCTTCAATAGTAGATTAGATTAAAAAAAGCTTTGTGTTTGTTCTGTCAAATATTATTTGTATAAATTATTTATCAAATCTAGGCCTAAACAATAAATCAATTAATCGCATGACAAATGAAAATTATCGACCTCATTTTCATTTATCAGCTTCATCGTTTCTTCGTGTCTCTCACTTTCTACTGAAGACACTGGATGAAAAAAAGGCTCAACTCCGGTGCTCTTCACTGAGCCCTCCCTTTCTCTTTAAAATCCATTTCAACTGTACAAAATCACGTTTTTGGATCGTTAAAAGCAGCTAAGCTACGAGCTAAGCTAACATGCCGACCTCGGGGGAAAAAACCTCTGTCTTGTCGAAGCTCCAAAATTCACGGTTGAAACTCGTGCCTTCGTGTAAAAAGTTGTTTTTCTCTGCAAAAAGAAGCTGAGAACTTGTTTACTGATTTTTTTAATTAAAAGCTTTATGTGAAAAATGCTATGCTAAAGAGCTCAAACCACACTGAGCATCCGCCATTTTGAGAACTGAAGAGAGACAGCCCATGTCACGTCAAGTTGCTTCTTAAAGAGACACGCTGCTCGCTCCCTCACTATCCATCCTTCGGTTCAAACAGTCGTACTGTTATCCAGTGGTCAAAAAAGGTACTAAACACAAAAATTAACCAACAGTTCTTCTTAATTTTGACAATAATGACTAATTCTTGTCAAATTTCAAACAATATCGTTTATCGCAATAATTTCTGAGACAATTAATCGCCCAGCAAAGTGTTATCGTGACAGGCCTAATCAAATCATCAAACAGTGAAAAGAAAGACCAACACGTCCGTGTTTACCTGCAGAACTCGGCTCATCCACTGGAAGCTGTCCTCCTCAGTGGAGTCGGGTCGTTGCTCGGCAACGACGACGATCCTCTCATCGTGCAGCACCGTGATGGAAAACACCGCTATCCTGCAGAAATCAGTTCGTTTTAGTGCGGAACAATCGTGGACCTTTACTTGTGGTGTGCGAGTTCTTCTGCAGCAGCTACACGAACTGTAGTTCCTCTGAGCAACAGCCGACACGGACCTGCCTCTGTAGACAAACTTCATGGGCTCCACCGCCAGCGCCGTGGCGACGATGTCGTCCGCGTTGTGACGACGTCCTCCCACCACCATCAGACCGTCCATCTTCCCAGCGACGAAGATCAGACCCGCAGGTCCGATGAATCCCAGCAGGCCGGTCCTGGTGAAGGGAAACTCGCTGACGGGAGTCCCGTTGTTGAGCACGGGGAAGACCTGAGGCGGTGGTTCAAACACGACCGAAGCCAAAAACTGTGAGCGAGCAAGACGAATAAAATAAATGAAGAAAATAACGAGCGCTTACCTCGAACGTGTTTTTGGTCATTCCTGCCAGCCCATAATAAGAGGATCCAGTGGCAGCGGTGCAAACACACATCTCTCCGATCTCGTCAGTTTTACAGAGCTGAGGCACTCCTTCGAGTTTGACCACACACATCATGGCTGCAGAAAGAAAAAGCACAGGAATTATTACCGAACACCACAAACTAAACGTTAAAGAACGGATTCTCTCCGAGCTTTCAACACAACAAGAGAAACGTTGATTTACTTTTAAACTCGGATGTTTATTCGGACGAACAGAAGCACAAACCAGGATTTTCTCTGCAAACATTCAGTTTCCTCCTCTTCTTATTGTGCATCTGAGTTTATGGCTCTAATGCAGTAAATCTTACAGACGCAGAGGTAAAACTTGACGTGGTAGTAGCTGACAGTCATCCTGAACACATCCTCCGAGGATGACGTCACAATATCACATGACTGGTTATTTCTTTTAAAGTTTGACCAAATCAGCTACAACGTCATTTCATGATCTTTGTTAATATTAACAGACAGAAAATTAAAGATGTTTGTCAATAAGCTTGTTTTGAACTGTCTGCATCAGTAAACAAAGTAAATAAAATAAAAGAGTTAAACACACCCAAATATATTTCAATGCTTCTTTTAAAGAAGCTCAAATTTGTGATTTATCTCAGAAAACAATCGAATAAAAGCCAAACTTTACTTTAAACATTGTGCAATACAATGTTAAATAAAAAAAAAACTTAGGTAAATAAATAAATAAATAAATAAATAAAAGGAAGTACAGAAAGCAAAATAAAGAACCCAAAGATGAATTAAATAAATAAGTTGATCAAACCTAATTTAGGTTTGATCAATTTAATAACTGAAAAGAAAATCCAGTTTAAACGACATCATTTATATTTTAAATCCCGGTGGAGCAACTTGTCTGGACGAGACCTTCGTGTTGGTTTTACCTCCAGGCATGACGGAACCAACGTCCTGGAGCGTGAGGACGGACAGCTTCTCCTCCGAGTCCACCCGGATCACGCCGTGGCTCAAACCCTGCATGGACAACACGCCGCGGTTTGGAGGCGTGATGCCGTCCTCCAGCGGCCTGCAGGACGGAGAAGGACACGTCCATCATGAGAGACAGAAGGACAGAAGGACACGTCCATCATGAGAAACAGAAGGACATGTCCATCATGATAGACAGGAGGACACATTCATCATGAGATAAAATGACAGAAGGACACATCCATCATGAGAGATAGGAGGACACGTCCATCATGAGAGACAGAAGGACAGAAGGACACGTCCATCATGAGAAACAGAAGGACACGTCCATCATGAGAGACAGGACACATCCATCAAGAGAGATAGGAGGACACGTCCATC